CAGATGTGGGGACAATGCTATAAATTGCTGTAAAGATTTCTATGCTGTCTTTCAATTCCTGTCCTTATCTCGGTGCGGACCAGCAGTAAGCCGCGTTCAACTGGCAGTGGTCCACAGGCCACACTTTGAGGAGCCCTGCAGAGCTACATTTTGGTGCAGTATTTGTCCCGAATAATAATATCAGCCCACAGCAGCGTGCCTGAGTCTTTGGGAAGGTGTATTAGTCTTGGTTCTCCAGAGAAACGTAACCGGTAGGGATGCCTAGCGAGATTTATTATAAGGAATTGGCACACCCGGTGATGGAGGCCGAGAGGCTCCATGAAAGGCGGTTGGCAAGCTGGGGACCCAGGAGAGCCAATGGTGTAAACGCCAGTCTGGGTCGGAGTCTGAAGCGGGGAGAAGATGGTGTCCCAGCTTAGCAGTTAGGCAGAGAGAACGCATTCTCCTTTCCTCTGCTTTTTTTGTTCTCTTCAGGCCTCCGGCAGGTTGGATGTGCCCCCCCCCCCCCCTTGGGGGGGGCAATTCCCATCCCCCCACCCCCCCACCCCCCGAGCCTACTGACTGAAACGTTCATTTCATTCAGAAACACTCTTACAGACACACCCAGAATAATGTTCAGTCCAGTTGGCACATAAAATTAACCATCCTCGACGGGCATCATCTCAAGTCGATGTGAGTGGGTCTCTTCTGCTTATTACTCTGCCAGGAAACATGCCAGTTCCTTGCCCCTAAACACAGAAGCCACTCCTTCCTTCCTCTCTCCCTCTCTCCCTCCTTCCGTCCACCTCCCTTCCTCCCTCCTCCCTTCCTTCCACCCTCTCTTCATTCCTCTCTTTCTCTCTCTCTCTCTCCCCTTCCTTCCTTCCTTCCTTCTTTCCTTCCTTCCTTCCTTCCTTCCTTCCTTCCTTATTTTTAATCTTATTTCTAGTATAGTGAACACATAGTGTTATGTTAGTTTCAGGTTTGCAACATAGTGATTCAACAATTCTACACATTACTCAGTGCTCATCAGGATAAGTGTGCCTTTGCTCCCTTTCATCGGTTTCACCCTTCCCCCTATACCCACCCCCTTTTTAGCCTCCTGATACCTTGCCCTCGAGGTGACAATAAAGCCAACCTCCCCGGTGCCCAGGAAGCAGACTCATCTTCAGTTCTGGTGCTTTCCATTCGAATAGCTCCTCGCTCCTGATACAGTTGGCTGCTTGCTGAGAGCACGTGGCATTGGGACACCCCCCTGCCCCCACCCCCCACCCCCGCCCCGTGCTCTGCTGTTCACACACCAGATCCCTCAGCACCCGGGTGCACATTGCCATTCAACTTCTCTCTGAAGCTCGCCCTCTGCCGGGTCCTTACTGATCCCCTCTTAATAACCCAGCGTGTTTTATTTTCAACCTACTGAATCCGTGGTCTCTTTGCCCTGCGTCCTGCTTCATACAATCTTCAGCAGATAATCACTGGTATTGTTGGGAGTATGTCTAGTATTAAACCCAGTGCTTTCTGGAATTTATCTTTTTTCACATTTACAAAAATACTGTTCGGTGTATATCAAAACCCCATTTTTGCATAGGAGGAGAGTGCTGCTAACAGAGGTTAGCAACTTACCTCCGTGGCCCATAAGGGTAAGAGCTACAGTTTCAGTCCCAACCCTGGATTTGACCAGAAAGTTCTGACTCCTTACCATGAAACTGCACTGCCTTACAGAAAATACAAAAAAAAAATTAACCATAGTTTTGTCCATATGACATACCGTCAAATTAATATCTCTCGATGAATAAAATTGCCACTGAAAAAATATTTCTTGGAAAGAAGGATCCATCTTTAAGTTCCGGTGCAGGATCGTGTTTGTCTCTGCTGATGAACTTGTGTGTATTTCCCTTCCTTGGCCAAAGGGACCATCTGAAAGCTTGGGTTTGCCCAGGTGGCGTGGAGTGAAATTTAGTTTTTAATTGCAGCGGCTGTTTTTAGCTTCCTTGGGATTGTATTTATTCCTCCCCTTCTTGAACACGACTCCATTTGTCCACGCGCAGGGTCCACTTACATGTTTCCTTTTCCCACGCTACGTGGAGCGGTTGGGGGCGCAGGCTGGGCGCCCTGATTGTGAGCCTACTTTTGCAAGCTGCTTTTTCCAGAAGCAAATCATGTTGGTCTGTCAAATGGGACTCACTGGTGGCCAGTTTTCCCTGCAAAGTGCTCCACATATATTCTGTGACTGAACCTGGGGAGGGGCTTGGATTACATCCGACCGAGTATAACCTTGTCACTGTGGCTGGAGGCATTTGTGTGGTGCCCCCAGAGCCTCAGACAGACAGGCTCATAATGGGCAGATGTTTATAAAACGCGGACAACCTAGAATGATGGGCGGTGAAAGGGGAAGGGGATGTTTTCTGCGCATGTGCTGAGCTCGGCGGCCGGGGGGGGGGGGGACTCTCCCCGGGTGGTGAAATTAGTGTCTTCCCATGTTTGTACGACTTAGAAATTAAGATAACCGCTGATAAAGCCGACTGGGTCCTGCGGCCAGTGGTGGGAGGGAAGCTGAAGCCAGTGTTGGGAACTAAGCACAGCCCATGGCCCTGTCCCCAAATTAGGATCGGCCCTGGCAAAAGGGACATCTGATTCTCACTTTTCAGTGTGTTTGGTCTGAAAATCTTCGCTCGGTGAAAAGAGGAGATGGTAATTGAAGTGTTTGTCCAAGAGAAAGCTTCTTGTATTGAACTTCTTTTAATGTTTATTTTTGAGAGAGAGGCGGAGGCGAGGGACAGAAAGAGAGGGAGACACAGAATCCGAAGCAGGTTCCGGGCTCTGAGCTGTCAGCACAGAGCCCGACGTGGGGCTCAAACCCAAGAGCTGCGAGATGATGACCTGAGCCAAAGTGGGACGCTCAACCCACTGAGCCACCCAGGCGCCCCAAAAGATTCTTGTTTTTTATGTGTGAGGATAGATTTGGCTGCGAGGCGTAAGTCTGACTTCTAATTAGCTGAGAACGTTCCCCTTGTAATTGGCCAGTGTAGACGTGCTTTGTAACGAGCATCCTGCCGTTCGTGATTGGCTGGCGGATGTAGGTTTTGTGAGCCGGGGAGGGGTGAGTGTGGTTTTGGAGCCTGATGGCTGGCTCTTGCCTCAGCCGTGTGTCTGTTTTACTTTTTGGGGACCCAGAACATTTGTGAGAGATGTCCCGTCTGTTACGATGAGTGAAAAGTACCTTTGAGAGAAATCGAGAAATCAGGAAGTGTGGCCTATTTTTCAGGAAGATAATTAATTCGTTTTTAGACATCTTGAGTTTGAAATGAGAGTTTGACATCCGGTGGAAATGTCTGGTGCTTAGCTGACGCGCTTAGTGGAAATAGCACTAAGAAGGCCTGTGTTCTAGAACTGATTCTTCTGCTAACCGGCTCTGTGTTCCGGGTCAAGCCCCGTAGCTTTTAGGTGTCTCGTTGGTTAGTTTGTAAGTTAGCGGCTCTCAGCCCAAACAGGGACCTGCCAGTGTGTGCTCTGGACTGGAGAGAGGGTGGGGTGTGGGTCCTGCAGGACTTGTCACTTGTCACCAGGTGTCCCTGGTGCCTGCCGGCTCCAACCTCCCACGGTTAGGACAGTTCTTGTCACGAGTGTGGGTTTGAGGGACAGCAAGGCTGGATGTCCCGAGCGGTCATCCTCAGAGACGGGGTGGGGGGTGTCTTCCTGTAAGTTATAGCTTTTACCTCATCAGTGCCTGGAGGGCCCTTGGGGCGGCTCCCTCTTATCGTACAGGTGCAAACCGTAGTAAGAAATAAGACTTCACAAGTGGCTTCTCTGGAGAGTGAGGGATGTGTGGGGAGAGAGCTCAGCAGTTATCTCTCCCCCACAGAACCCTGGCAGAGAGGCCCTCACCGCTGCTTGAATGCCCCCAGGGGTGGGGAGATCACCCCTTCCAGTGCTGCCCAGTTCACCTTCCCGGAGCTCTGTTAAGAGGTGTTCTTTACTCACAGCCTGTTATGGACTCCCCGTACTTCCTACCTGTTCCCTAATTCCACTCAAAGGGGGATCAGTCCTCTTAGCCCCCTTTCCAGATAGGGGAGCACAACATGTGTCCCAACACGCTCAGCGGCTCCCTCGCCGTAACAGAGAGTCGTGTTCTCTGTGCTGTGGAGAAGCCCACCTTTCTAGCCGCCTTGTCTTTCTCTTTTGCACTTGCTCTGTCTCCCTACGCTGCCTCTTTCCTCCTTCTTCCCCTAGCCTGTGTCGCACTGGTGGGACCTCTTAAGCCCCAGGGCTGTCTTCTGGGCAGAGGAGCTTTGCTGGTCTAAGGGATGCAGTAATTCCCTGTAAGATTCTGGAAGCAGCTTTGTTCTGGGACACTGAGTGCCACGCGCCTTTCTGTCAGGGCGGGTGGCGTGAGCGGCGTCCCAGAGGGCTGCGCTCGTGAGCGGCTTTGACCAGCAGGTGTCTGCACCCAAGCCTGGCACGGGGGCCGCCTCTCCCAGGTGCAGAAGGTTGTCTGTATTTACTTAGGGCCTGCCGTTTCCCACCCGATTCGGGTGCTGTGTGAGTGGCTCATCTGCTTTACCTGGGAGAAGTCGAACCCGTGGATCTCCACACGGTCACAGCCGAGACGCCCAGTCCCCGGGGAGCCCGGCATTTCTGAGATGTGCGTTCCTTAAGGAGGACCAAAAAAGTTTATCGGGCCAAGTGAAGGAGCAGGGAGGCTTCTTCTTTGCCTGGAGAGGACGAGGATGTGATGATGACATGACGTCCCACGGCGTGCAAGGACCACATGGTTCCAACGCACGAGTAGATCGGGACGGTGACGTAGCACGTAAAGCAAAGAAAGCGCTAGAACTCGGGGTCCCTGGGGAGTTGTTCAGGCCACGGGGACCCTGGGATTTTCTGACTTTCCCTCTAGAAGTGTGATGGTTCTTTTCAAAGTGACAACCGGCCATCTGAAAACCCAGGTGGTCCTTTCAGGAAGCAAAGAAGGAACGGACGGTGACCTCTTTCTCTCCCCACTCCCGCTTCTCTGTGAACAGGGAGAAGATGCCTTTCCACCATGTGACCGCTGGCTTGTTGTACAAGGGGAATTACCTCAACCGGTCTCTGTCCGCGGGCAGCGACAGCGAGCAGCTTGCTAATATCTCCGTGGAGGAGCTGGACGGTAAGGAGCCCGCCCTGTCTGGGAGGTCAGCCACCCCCGGGAGGCGTCCGAGGCGATCGTGCGTCTACGGTGAAAGTGTCAGACTCTGGCCACCCGTTGTGGCCAAGTCTAACGGTGGTGCGAACGGGAACGGGCTCAGAGATAAATTCTGCATAAGCGACTTCTTTGTGCGGGACGGACCTCGTCATTTGCTTTCTTTGTACACGGACTGGGGGACAGCCTTCCGCTCCCAGAATACATTTTCCGGTTTACGGAATCTTGATCGCCAGTGGCATCGTCGTTTCTCCATGTTGTCAGTTACGCAGGGCCCAGCTGTAGGGGAGGTTTTAAGCCCTGCTGATGGCTGTCTCTTGACTTGGGGCCATGGTGCTTTGAATCCTGCCCAGATCAGAATCCTCTGGAAGCCTAGACATGGTGGGAATGGACAGCAATTATTTTAATTGCCTCTGTTCCTTTGTTACACAGTGTAGTCCTGGGTGTTCAGGGCAGCGATAGGGATGGGAACACCATGACTAAATTCATCCTGGGACCGTGCCCTGTCGTCTCCTCATTGGTAACCCCCTGATTAAACAGCAAAATTACAAAGAGGAAGAAGGACTTCATTTCTTCGGGAATCGAAAATGAGGTGGAAGCAGCCAGATGTTCAGCTAGGTGTTACATCCGCAGAGGCCGAGCCAGAATCCGCCCTCCCCGACGTTTTGGGATGCCGTGTTCCTTGTGAACACCATTTTAAAGCATGGAGTTGAGATTTGCTTTCTAAAGAGACGTCAGAGTTACCCCGATGGCCCACCTATTTGCTTTTAAGTGACATGGTCTGACCAGCGTGCTGTCTCCGCGCAAGAGGGGCGCCTCACGGCCGTTACTCGCAAGAGGAAGGCGGGGAAATCCAGCTCTGGGCCAGCGAAGCCCAGCTTGCTGCAGACTGGGCAGGAGTGGAGGAGGGCGGAGGGACAGGGCCGTCTGATAGCCTTTCCTGCTCTTGTCCATTTTGATTGCTTGCTCATCTAAAAGACTGGCTTATTTATATAAGTAAACCGTAAGGCAGCAGAGGCTGGTGGGTAGGGTTCCCGGTGGGGGCATGTGACAGGAAGCCGGAGTGACAGGAAGCAGAGCCAGGCTCGCCCCCGTCTGGACAGAGGCTGGTGGCAGGAGAGGAGAGCAGGACCCTCGGGGGATCTCCTCGGCTTCAGTTGGCCAGAGGACATTCGGACGCAGAAGCAGGCAGTAGAGGCCTGACTGCCTCCAAAGCCAGGTGACCATACAGAAGGCCAAAGCTCAGCTAGTATGTTGAGCGGGACCCAGGCTTCCCCGGACCCCCGGGGAGTCCGCTTAGGGAAGTGGTACATTGATTTGGGGGTGTGTTTGCGTTTCTGTTTAGTTGAGTAGGTCCCTGGGCTCAGTCATCAGCAGGAGGGGCTGGAAGGCTCCCTGAGTAGAGGCCATGAGATCCGGGCAGGAAGTCCCTGTGTTTAAAAGTGACTCTTAAAGAGGTCGAGATGACTAACCAAAGGGAGTTTGGAAATCACCTGTGGCTCTTACAGATCCTGGCTTTCCCTTGCCTTTTCCCTTCCCTCCCAGCGTTGCTCTGAATAATCAAGAGATGATTTCTCCTTAGAGCATCGGCTTTTTTCTCTGTTAAATCTGGGCCACTGCCAGGGCGCACAGCTTTTCAAGAGGACTGCGGGCTGGATTTTGCCGTCCCCCCCCGCCCCCCCCCCCCCACCCCCAGGGTGGCCAGTGGAATCGCTCTCCGTGTACCTGGGCAAGTGGCCTAGCTCAGGAGCGTGTTTCACTCAGCCCCAGGCCGCCGAGCAGGGCTGAAAGGTGCCTTCTCAGCAGGCACGAATAGCAGGGAGAGATTCTAACAGCCCTCAAGCCTACATGGGCAGGCTTAGCAGTGGGGGCCCCGCGGAGTCCCTAATGAAGTCCAGCCAGACTTTATAGCCTGAGGCCTGAGGCCAGCTGCTGAAGACACTCTGTTGTCCTTCAGGAGGGTAATCCAGCTCTCAGCTTGGAGAAGGGCCATTTATTTTCTGATGGAAGATTCCTTCTACTTATTTACTTTTGGCCAAGGTGAACCCTGAGTTATGACTGCTCATGCTTTATTACGAGCATCTTGGGGCTCCGGGCAGGGCTGTGCAGATGTGCACTGAGGATAGAGCCAGCAGGCAGGGTCTGAAAACCAAGCGCAGGTTGGTTCTCAGGGAAGACACCTTTCTGAGGCTTTGTCTGTTTGCTGTTCTCTGAGCCCTAAAGACCTGTTTCCTGTTGCTCTGGGCCACTCATTTATCCTCAGAGGAAACATGGCATTGCACAGGGAGTTGATGTTGGGCACTGAGGGGAATCAAAGCTTCCTTTGTGATCCATTAGTTGGGCACTGCCTTCCCTCACTGTGCCCCCTTCCTTACCCCGTGGCGGCTGCAATCCCCCGCTTACGAATCGCCGAGGGGACAGGTTCCCCTACCTGGCTACTGTTTATCACCCAGGATAGAATGTCCCTTTCCTTCAGTGGAAGGGACAAACTCACCCGGTCCGTGAGTGGTTACCTTCTGAGAAGAGGTGTGAAAAGAGCCACTCACCATGCAGGTTATCTCCAGCTGACATACACTCTGGAGAGTTTCTGTTTCTTCTCTTTAAACAAAGAGAGGGAGTCATGCAAACCTGCATGAAGTTGGCCAGACTGGAGTTGGAAATCACCTAACAAACAAACTCAGCAGTGATGAATTGGTGGAGACATTCATTCATTCATATTTAATTCATTTGTCCATTCTTATTTATTCATTCATGATAGGAATGTTTACCCGAATGCTTTCTGGGTAGAGGAGGAAATGAAATAAGTATAATATTCGTTACCTGTTCCCAAGGAATTTGCAGTCTACCCAGGGAATTTATGTGCATACAAAATTTATTAGCAGTATCTTTTTAAAAAAAATATTTATTGGGGCGCCTGGGTGGCGCAGTCGGTTAAGCGTCTGACTTCAGCCAGGTCACGATCTCGCGGTCCGTGAGTTCGAGCCCCGCGTCGGGCTCTGGGCTGATGGCTCAGAGCCTGGAGCCTGTTTCCGATTCTGTGTCTCCCTCTCTCTCTGCCCCTCCCCCGTTCATGCTCTGTCTCTCTCTGTCCCAAAAATAAATTAAAAAAAAAAAAAGAAACGTTGAAAAAAAAATATTTATTTATTTTGAGAGAGAGAGAGAGAGAGAGAGAGAGTGCACACGCATGAGTGGGGCAGGGGCAGAGAGGGAGGAAGAAAGAGAGTGAGAGAGAGAGAGCACCAGCGGGAGAGGTACAGAGATGGAGAGAGAGAATTCCAAGCAGGCTCTGTGCTATCAGCTCAGAGCCCCACATGGGGCTCAATTTCATGAACTGCAAGATCGTGACCTGAGCTGGGATCAGGAACCTGACGCTTAACCAACGAAGCCACCCAGGTGCCCCTATGAGCGATACCTTGCACTTTCAGAGTGTATCATGTAAACGTTTATTAGGTTTACCAATTCTAATTTTGTGAAAACCATTTTCTTAATCCTATTGACTGACTAATCTTACGATGCTGTCTTAATCTTTAAATTTACCTCTGTCTGAATTCATACGTTTTCATTCATACATGGCATGAGTATCCATTGTATGTCAGTATACTTCAATTTCTGTATCCATTTCATTCAGGATGGATATTTGGGTTTCCCATTTGAGGCTGTTAGGATGTAATCTGGCCACTGTGAAATGTCTGAGTGCGGGTATTTCGTGCCTTTCGTTCTAATGCTACATTTTCATTCTTTGTTTTCCACATCATACATCTCTACTCACATCATTTTATGTAGTCTGCATTCCTTCTCGAGTTTGTCTTCTACATCATTGACTTACTTGTCTATAGTCATTAAGAAAATTTTTTTATTACTGCGTTTAGAGCATATCTTCAGTTTTCTGGAAGTTTCAGTTTCCTTGAAGCTTAATTTTACTTCAGTAGTCCTCCTTCCTTTTTCTTTTTCTTTTAGAGAGAGAGAGAAAGAGGGTGTGTGAGTGGAGGGGAAGGGCAGAGGGAGAGGGAGAGAGAGAATCTCAAGCAGGCTCCACGTCCAGCATGGGGCCCGACCTGGGGCTCGATCCCACGACCCCGGGGCCATGACTTGAGCCAAAATCAAGAATCAAATACTCAACTGACTAAGCCACCCAGGTGCCTGCCTCCTTCCTTTAAAAAACAAAAAACAAAAACAAAAAACAAAAAACACCCAACTTTGGTTAAAATAGAATACAGGGAAGTATTAATGCACAATTCAGTTATTATTGAACATGAACATTCATTCAACAACTACTGAGGCTAAAGGAATGTAGTATTGTTAGCACCTTAAAGTATCCCCGGGGCCCTTTCCAATGCCTCTTCCTCAAAGACAACCACCAGCCTATTTCCTCTCAGCGTTTCATGGTGTTTGCATTTCCCTTCATCTCAGTGGGGCCAATGCCATGTCTTGTTCTTTTGTTCCCAGCCTCTTTTCCTCAACATATTTGGGAGACTCAGCCATGTTTTTGAGGATAGCTGAAGTTGATTCATTTTCACTAATCTATAGTATCCCATCATCTATAAATATGCCACAATTATTTATCTGTTCTATTCTCAATGGGTATTTGGGTTGCTGCCAGCTTCAGCTATTAGGGTATAATCGGACCATCCCCCTTTTTTGTTGCTGCAGTAGTCTTAGGATGTGCTTTCCTCATGCCTCTGACTTCTTGCCTTCCTGGGGCCTTATTTGTTTATTCTCTCTCAACTCTTTGTCTTATGAGAACAATGTGGACACAGTTTGTGAAAATCTCTTCTGTGTCTTGCCATGATGTATACAGAGACACATATATATACAAGCCTTTCCTCCACGTCTTCCAACTGATGCTACCTTTACTTCCCATTAGAAGATGTTTTTCTAGGGTCCCTTTTGCTTTTTTCTGTTCTACTTTGTGACTCCATAAAGTCCTTTGCGGGCCCAGAATCTGTGAGCCAACAGGGTTTGTAAAG